TTTGAACTCATTTCTCTTAAGAATATTGGCGGTGGTTTAGCTGAATTTACCATTTTGTAATAATAAATTTGTTTTCATATACAAAATTTATTATATTAGTTTTTTTGTTTTTTTTCATTTTTATTAGATTTTTTCTTTCGACTTTATAAGTTTCTTCTAATTACAATTAGCAGGAAGAAATCTGCTCATTGGTAGGCATCCGAGAATGCCGAGACAAAAATGAAACTGAGAATTTGGTTTAAGCTGTTCGAGCTCAGTTTCAAATCTGAATTTTATTAACAATTTTCCAAACTATTTATACGAAATGTTTTACAATAATTTACAAATATTTTTCTTAATAATTTTAATTGCGGCGGCACTAAAAAGGTTGACCCACGTCAATGCTTAGAAAATATTATGAGACATTCAAGTGTGTCATATCGACATGTGCAGAATAGTAGCACAAAAAAAAAAGTGTCAAATGGCAATTGCATACTTGCTATGACCAAACATTCTATGTTACTTGCATTGTGGTGGTTCTTCCACTTGCATTACATTAGTTAATATAAAATAATTTGTGCATAAGCACTTTCAAAAATACATAACATAATTTATTGTTTGTTTTTGTTTACATTGTTGCGCTATACACAACAATTTTCATTCCAATATTTTTGTTATCGCTTTCATCACTTAGAATTGCGAATCTATTTTGGGAACCGTTGCTATTATTTTTTTGTATTTTTACTGTCAATTGTTTATTTGCATGCATTTTTTTTAAAACCTATAACTTTTTGCATTTCAGGTAATTCTGGTGTCTTGCATTGAGTACTCCAAATTGAGGCAGTTTTTAATTTAGTGTTGCCAAGCGATTGCATTATGGGATTTATTTGACAATTATCAGTTTGGGTTTTTGATTTGTACTTACAGATTCTGATCTTTTGTTAATATAAATGTATCGATCAATATCAGTTCGCAAAGTTGTCCCTTTGCCAGTATTTGAGGAGCTTTTACTCATCAACAATGAAGAGCTTTTATTTATTGCAGAGCTTTCGTGAGCAAGAGTTTGTGTTACTATATTTAAGTTTTTTACCGATTAGGATATCGATTTACTCATTGGACTATGTAAAGTGTTTATTTGCGCGGGAATTAAAGTGGTTTATTTATTGTCATTTATTTTCAAAGAATTTGTGTTCTCACTTTTGTTGAGTTCACTTGATTTTAGATTTAAATCATTAGAATTAAATGGCATTGACAATTCATTATTAAAAACATTATTTTTGTTCTGGGCTTGCTTTGATTCTGGAGGGAAATGAGCCACGCTCATTGAGCTTTGAATACTCAGAAAACTTTTTTGTTTGTTTACAATTTCCAGAATCAAGAATCATTCAAAGCGTACGGTCGTGTTTTTGTGCGATGTGCGTACTTTTTTAATATTAAAGCCTTATTCATTTGAAAAAACAAACTAAGTGCGGAGAAATTTGCAAGCGCGACATAAAACATTTGAAGTTGATATTAATTTATATTTCACTTGCGCGCATTTACTTAAAATTATTTAATTATATTTATCAAAAATTTGCTAAATTTTCTGTATTTGCAAAAACACGCGCGGTTAACTCTGTGTTGTTTAATTTCTTTCACACATGTAAACAGCTGATAGCGACAGCATTAAATTTAAATTCTTATGCGCACAAAGTGTTGCAAAACAAATAATCTACTACACAATTTTTGTTTCCTTTTAAATTTTATATCGTGTAATTGTGTAATTTTAAATAACCCATATTGGTAAAAATTGAAGTTCAACTTTCAAACCAAAAGTAAATATAAAATAAGCGAAAGAGACGCTAAACGATAATTATTAGTGGTATTTGCACATACGTATATACATAAATTAGAAAATGAGGCTACACCGAACTCCTCCCCGCATACGTAGCAAATCAGTAAGTGATGATAAAAACTTCGAAGTAATTAAAACAAAATTTGATAACACCGTTGACTGAGCAGTTGATGACAAGAAACGAAGTAAAGTCTGCTGGTGCACTCACGCAGACTGACATGGACCGATACATTATGGTTGTTAATAAAAAGTGAAAGCTTGTAACGACACGAATTTTCCGTTTCGTTATTTCCTTTGCCGGGGTAACCTCAGCCTCTTCCAGGAGTCGTTACAATAAATTTATATTTACAAGAATCGGACTTCTCAAATAAAAGATTGTGATTATAGTTTTCAGAACTATTTATTTATTAAAAAAAAATTCAATAATATATATATATATAAAAAGAAAGAAATTAAATGCAATAATTTTTATTATTATGAACGGAAAAATTATTATTATGACTGGGACGGCACATCAGTGGCAAATGATTCTTTGAAAACTCTCAACGGGGTTACTTCCAATGACTACTTTGGTGAGATTCCAAATGGTATTTTCTGCTCTTGTAGTTGGCTTCTATGTTCACCTGTTTGAAAAAAAAATATTAAGGAATATACGCTTTATTTATTTAATATACATATAATGATGTCTAAGCGCGCTGACTTAAAACCGCCTTACGCTCGTAAACTATTATATATATACTTTTGTACTAGGTTATACATTTTGACTTAACACCGCCTTTGTGTCAGATAATATTTTATTGTATTATTTTATTAGTTGACATACATTAAGACTGAAAAGTTTTCGGAAATTCTCATTTAAAATTCGCGCGCTGTATATTTTTCGATATTTTAAGTTTATGTAGTTTGGCAGCACTGTCATTAATTACTATGCCAAAAATGAGAGCGATCTGTCAGAAAGTTCTTACGGCAGCTGTTGAAACCAGTTCACCTCAGTAGTGCGTTGCGAAATGTCTTCGACGGTCGTACGACCGTACTGAAAGGCTTTGTACCACTCATAAACTTGAGTTTTCGATAAAACTGATTCCCCATAAGCCTTTTGTAGCATTCGCAACGATTCTGCACACGAAATTTCGTTCGAAACACAAAATTTGATGCAAACTCTTTGTTCAATATTTTTTTCCATTGTTTTTTTCGCAACGCACTACTGAGGGGAACTGGTTTCAACAGCTGCCGTAAACGAACTGTCTGACAGATCGCGCTCATTTTTGGCATAGTAATTAAGGACAGTGCTGCCAAACTACATAAACTTAAAATATCGAAAAATATACAGCGCGCGAAATTTAAATGAGAATTTCCGAAAACTTTTCGGTCTTAATGTACCATATAATGCCACTCAGTGATCATACAAGACTCACTACCCTTTACAAAAATGCGTCGTCTTTTATACAGATCAGACGAGCTTTTTGTGTAGCGCACATACAATTGTTTTCTGCTGTTTTGTGGAGTTTTGTTTATTTTCCCGCTTGCATGCCTTGTTTCCGTACGTTCTTCAAATTGTGCGCTCAACAGATCTTGTCTATCTCTTTGCGGCGAATATCTATTGACGTTTCTGACGTTTGTTTGTTATGTTTTGATTTTATAATTCTCGTAACTTTCCGTGTGGTGTTTCTTTTTATATATAAAAATTTGTGAATAATTTCTAATAATAAATTAATAGTTTAATAATAATAATTTTAAAAATTTGGATTAAAAGTTGTGGTAAACATTAGCAAGTGTGTATTTATACTTTAACTGAATACTTTTATATTTACATTTCTCTTTCCCTAGTTCCACGTTTTACAGTAGTGTGCAGTGTAGGCAGCTGTTATTGAAATTTTTGTGCAAAGGCCAATTAAAACAAGGTATGTATTAGATTTCAAAATAAAATCCATTTTTTTAATTTTAATTCATTTATTTCAGAGATTTCTACTTTTTTCTTGTACAACAATTCAAATCAATTTATTTGGACTAAACGCTGTGTGTATTTTTGCCCTAAATACGATGTGTGTATGTAGGGCAAAATTTACTTATGTAAATTTACATAAGTAAATTTTGCCCTTGCAAGCTGAGTCCCCAAAATCTCAACTCTCAATTGAATAAACCAAAAAAGTATAATAACTTGACCATACCCGACACCCAAAATCGTTTTTCCCTACTTAATAATGATGAAGAAGCGCTTAATGTCGAAACCAATGTACCCAAAAAAAGTCCAAAACCGCCTCCAATTTCTCTTCTCGTATGTGCTATTGGAAATAAAAACTTCCATGTAGTCCCCCTCAATGCCGAAAATGATTTTCGTATTGGAACAGCTCTACTCGAAAAAAATAAGAAACACTTTTACACATAAAAGCAGTAAGGGGCTTATTGTTGTTTTAAAAGGCGTCGAATCTAATGTAAGCACAGAAGAAATCAAAGAAACTTTGCACTTAGTCGGTTTTAAAGTCAAAAAAATTCACAACATAGAAAAAAAATATTTAATTTTTCAGCCTCTCTTTAAAATTGAATTAGAACCAGAAAGCAACAAATGTGGAAAAAACAAAATTCATCCAATATATGAGCTTCGTTACTTATTGCACAGAAAAATAACCATTGAAGAACCACACAAACGTACAAATATAGTATAAAAATGGAAATAATGTTGTTATTAAATGCAACAACTGCCAAGGTTCTCACACGGTTAAGTTACGCAAACGTTATGAAAAGCTCTTCTAACATACCAAGCAATATTACTCTATTGAACTATCACCCTACAGACGGTGATTGTTCAATTAACGAACTCTGTTTCACAAATGAATCAACTTATGATTTCAATGCAAACTGTTATATTTAGTCACTTCGCAAGACGAGTTTACTTAAGACTAACTTTATTTTTTGAAATCAATTCTTAAAATTAAAACAATATTAATGTATAGAGCTTTTAAAGACTAAAATAAGATTAATGTATAGAGCTTTTAAAGAGAGCTCTATATACTTCGTTATAATAGTTATAACATTTCTCCTCCCTAAATTTAGAATTTCTAAAATTTATTAATTACATACAATACATTTTTAATTTACTTAAGTTAATTAATTATAATTTTCAATTCAATATTTTAATTCAATTTATAATTCAATTTATAATTTCATTTCTAATTTAAATAAATAAAATTTATTTCTTTTTCTGTAAAAAGTTATCAGCTTGATACCGCTGTATAGGAGTTCGAGGACGCGTACTACGACGTAGTTCTTCGAATGCATTTGAAGGATTAACAGCTGACTTTTCAGGCTCTGGAATATGACCTTGTGATGATATTGTTTGCCATGTCAATTCTTCAGGTTGAATATTATTTTCTTGGTTATTTTGGTTTTTGGTATCACAACGCTTTAATTGGTTTTGATGGCGTTTATAACAACCAGTTGCTGTTTGAACGATATATACTTTTCTCCCTAGTTGTTTCTTTATAACACCTTTTATATATTTCGGTCCATTCGAGAAATTTCGTAAATATACAGTACTAAAGAGATCGTATTTATTTTTTTCAAAGCTAGGATTTTCCGCATAATTTCCAAAAGGTTCGGATATTTGGCTTACAAGTGTACGAACAGCACGACCATATAAAATTTCAGCTGGTGACTTTCTTTCTGAGTTAGGTAAAAACCGATAAGATGAGAGAAATTTTATCACAGCTTCATTAATGTTTATCATCGATATTCTTCTTTACCGATTCCTTAAATGAGGCTGGATGGAAAGGAGCTGTCGTAATGTGTTTGACACCATTTTTATAGCAAAATGTTCTAAACATTTCTGACGTTAATTGCGGCTCATTATCGCTGACTATGCATTTGGGAAGACCTTCAATTGCGAAAATTGATTTCAAAGCTATAATTGTATGAGCGGAAGTTGTGCCAAATAAACAAATAATATATGGAAATTGCGAAAAAGCATCCACACAAATAAGCCACATTGCATTGAAAACAGGTCCTGCGAAGTCTATATGAATGCGATCCCATGGTGCTTCAGGTGTCGGCCAGGATGCATATGTTCTTTTGGGGCTAGCACTGTTTATACAACAAATAGTACACTTTGCTGCTTCTCGTTCGATATCTTTATCTATGCCGACCCACCAGCAATGTTGACGTGCTAATTGCTTCATTTTTATTACGCCCCAGTGTCCTTCATGCAAAAGTCGCAAAACAATTTTTTGTAAAGCCTTCGGTATTATTACACGGGTGGCATTACCCTGTAGACAAAGTAACCCCTGTTCTATTGTCAATTGAAGCTTACGAGTAAAGTAAGGCATTAACTCGCCATTTTTTAACTTTATAGGCCAACCTTCACTGACAAATTTTTTAACACGGTTGTATAGATAATCACTTGCTGCATGCTTTTGTATTTGATTATGGTTTATTGGCAGATTCATCTCTTCTACATTATTGCACCACTCCTGCTTATCAAAGTCCACATCTGGTCCCAGTGGTAATTGAGATAGTGCATCAGCATTTGCATGTTCTTTAGTACTACGATACTTAATATCATATTGGTATCCCATTAAAATAATAGCCCATCGCTGAAGGCGATTAGCAGTCATAACTGGCAGTTGTTTATTTTGATGGAAAATACTTACCAATGGTTTGTGATCAGTTACTAGAATAAACTTTCGACTATATATATACTGATGGAAGCGTTGAACTGCAAAAACTATAGCAAGAGCTTCTTTTTCTATCTGACTATACTTTACTTGATGCTGATCCAATGTTTTTGATGCAAAAGCAATTGGTTTTTCAGAACCATCGGCCAAAATGTGAGATAATACAGCACCGATTCCATATGACGACGCATCAGCAGCAACATGTAATTGTAAATCTTCCCGATAATGTGCTAATTCAGTAGCCTTTATAATTAAATTTTTTAATTGCATAAATGCGCGATTTTGCTCGGTACCCCAACGGAAAGGTACATCTTTACGTCGCAACATATTAATCGACGCTGCAATTTGAGAATAATTTGGGATAAAATTGAGATAATAATTTATTTTTCCCATGAAGGATTCAAGGATTTATTACTAACACTTTTTTAGTTTCATCATCTAGCTCCATTTGCAAATAAGCGTCTTTCAAATCTATTTTTGTAAACAGTTTCCTGTACCGAATAGTGTGAAATAAACTTTCGCGCAAAGGTAATGGATATTGTTCAACATCAATTTGTGGATTCACAGTAGCTTTAAAATCTGCGCAAATACGAACCGAGCCATCAGGTTTTTTGGCTAACACGATAGGTGATGCCCATTCACTAAATTGCACTGGTTTTAATATTTCAGCATCTATTAACCGATTGATTTCGTTTTTAAACTGCGGTATTAACGCAAACGGTACTTGGCGGTTTTTACAAAATTTTGGTATAGGATTTTGTTTGAATTTTAAAATCTGTTTTTGCTGCTGACATCAGCAACGATAAAAGAAACATTTTTTTCTATTTGTCCACATGTCACATTAATTTGTCCTAAAATAGGAATTTGTTTTTCACCAAATCCGTATAGGCTATGATTTGTTTTAATAAGTTGTGGACGATTTAAAAAATTGTACGTGGATTTTGTTATAATTGAAACCGACGCACCTGAATCTATTTGAAATGTAATTATGTTATTTAAAAGTTTTAATTTTACGAAACTTTTACCACTTTCATAGAACACAATATCGGTTTTTGTTTTATGGAATGCATTGTTTTTGTGACTCTCTCCTTTTTTGTCAATACTGTAAATTTGCACATTATCAACAGTGTGCCTATTGTTTTTGAAAGATTTTTTGTTGGATTTTTGCTTTTTTACAGCTTGACAAACTGGAGATATATGACCAATTTTCGCGCAATTATTACAAGTTGCATTTTTATACCTGCATTCGTCTCGCGTGTGTGACACAAAACATTCCGAACATCGTTTAAACTTATTAGTTATTTTATTAAAATTCCGACGTGAATATTTTTTTTATCACTTTTTTCACACACAATATTTATTGGTATATTGTTACCAAATTCTGGAAATTTAATTGTAGCAACCGTTTTGCTTGTCGCTTCGTACGACTCAGCAATAAGTAAAACTTCTGCTAACGTCGGCAGAGTTTTTTGAAGCGCAGCGGCTCTCACTGCATCGTGTGGGGTGTGCAGAATTATTTGATCTCTAATCATTTTGTCCACATAACTGTTGTTGCAAGATTCTCCGCTACACATATAATTACACTTTCTCGTAAGACCACGGAGTTCCGCTACCCAGTCTTTATATGTGGACTCGTGTTTCATTAAACACTTTCCAAACTGAAAACGTGCAGCCACAATATGCATGTGGTGCCTAAAATGGTCTGTTAGTTTGTCTGTAAGTTGATCAAATGTGAACTCAGATAAATTATCTGATCCAAAAAGATTTCTGAGCAACTCAAACAGTTCGCCGCCTATCCACGACAAGAAAAATGATTTCTTTTTCTCCGCTTTTAAAACTGAATAAGCAACGAAATGCTGATTAAGTTGCTCCAGATACGAGTTCCATTATTGAACCACTTTATTAAAGGGCTGGAATGGCGGTGGTGTTGATATATTGGACTTTGCGTCATTCAAGGTTTGTGCTCCCATCGAACCGCCCAGCAACGACTTCACGAAATTTTGTTGTTCCAACATCATCTTTTCGGACCAGTCTTGCTGTTGTTTTAACAGTTTTGCACCAACTCAGCCGTCTCCGCCATTTCAATTGTTAACAAAAATTTTTTCCAATTATTGTTGAAATATATATTATATTTATACGCGTTATTTATGTTATTACCGAAATCAACTACACAAACTGAATCTCCTCGTCGCCACTTGTTATATTTAGTCACTTCGCAGGACGAGTTTACTTAAGACTAACTTTATTTTTTAAAATCAATTCTTATTATTAAAACAATATTAATAGAGCTTTTAAAGAGAGCTCTATATACTTCGTTATAATAGTTATAACACAAACGATGTTCCATGAACTCCTTAAAACTCAGCAGCAACTACTAAAATCTATCGTTTCAAAATGAACTCCATAAAAATATGTCAATGGAACTGCAATGGCATAAGCCAAAGAAAGCGTGAAATCTAACTATTTCTAAACACAAATGAAATAGACGTCTTACTCTTATCCGAGACACATTTAACAAATAAAAATCACTTCTCTATACCTGATTATAAATTTTATCATACTAATCACCCGGACGGCAAAGCTCGTGGAGGTACAGCAGTTTTAATCAAAAACCGTCTAAAACATTACGCAATTGAAGAATTCGCTAAGGATTATTTGCAAGCCACGTCCATAAGTCTTAAATGTTGGAACGAAGATATAGTGATATCGTCAGTTTACTGTCCACCCAGGTTTAATGTAACTCATATGCAATTTATCGAATTTTTTAAAACACTTGGCAAAAAGTTTATAGCTGCAGGCGATTATAATGTTAAACACACTCACTGGGGCTCACGGCTTATTAATCCTAAAGGCAAAAACCTCTACTTAGCGCTATCAAATCGCCAATTAAACCTTGATTTTACCTCTTCAGGCCAACCCACCTATTGGCTCCCAGACTCATGGAAAATTCCTGATCTAATTGATTTTGGTGTTGTCAGAGGCATAGACCGAAACCTTATAAATTCTCAAACTTGTTGTGAGTTGTCTTCTGATCACTCGCCTGTCCTGATAACTGTTTCAAATAAAGCACTCTGCTACGGGAAATCATTTAAGCTTACCTCCAAACAAACTAACTGGATTAAATTCCGAAAATACATTAGCTGTCACATAAACTTAAAACCCAAGCTCAGAAGTGAAACAGATATAGATTTAGCCTTGTATGATCTTACGACTGTTGTGACCGCAGTTGCAGTGCACACAAAGCCCATCAAGCATGACCCCGACACAAAGCCTCCAAAAAGGACATCTGCTCTTATTGATAAACTTTTAAAAGAAAAACGCCGCCTACGAAGGGAATGGCAAAGAACTAGATCTCCATCCGCAAAGAAAATGTTTAATCAAGCAGTTAAGCTATTAAAAGAAACTTTAGATAAAGAACTGCATGAAAATATATTGAAATTTATGGAAAACCTCTCTGCAAACGTCATTTCAAAATTAATGCCAGCATTAGAAATGTGGAAAGTGCTCCGAATTCAATAAAAGTCAGTGCTAATGATGTCCAGAAAATTATTGGCCAGCTTCAAATAAAAAAAGCTCCTGGTCATGACTTAATAAGCAATGAAATGATATCTCAGCTTCCGGATATTGCTGTAAGAATGTTTTCTTTTTTTATGCAACGCGATGTTTAGAGTTGGATATTTTCCTTTCGCTTGGAAAACGTCTCAAAGCACAATGATTGCAAAACCTGGCAAGGACGTAACACGTAACCAGACCAATTAGCTTACTGCCAACCCTTTCAAAGCTATTTGAGAAATTATTGTTAACAAAGCTTCTCCCGTTCATTAATGAAAATAACATCATTTCTACTCACCAATTTGGTTTCCGGCATAAACACAGCTCAATTGAGCAAGTTCACCCAGTGGCAAATGAAATTAGAAAGGCCTATGAAGAAGGAAAATACTGTTCTGCCCTATTTCTTGACATTGCACAAGCTTTTGACAAAGTAGGCAAATTTAACCAGCTTCTAACCAGCTTAAAATTAGGCAAATTTAACCAGCTTCTTTCCATAAACTATTAATTTCATACCTAATTATACGAAAATTCAAGGTAAAACTCAAGGATACAACCACAGATGAGATTGAAGAGAATGCTGGAGTCCCGCAGGGCAGCGTTCTTGGATCGGTTTTATACCTCATATTTACATCGGATTTGCCGACTAGTCAAAAAATAACAACATCTACGTTTGCAGACGATACTTGTCTTCTCAGCGTTCATTAAAATTCTTTCACCGCTTCCCGGAACTACAGGCTCAGCTCAAGGACGTCCAAAACTGGCTAAACGACTGTCGCATTCGCGTAAATGAACAAAAAAGTACATACATAACCTTTATACTTAGAAAAGATACTTGTCCGCCCGTAACTCTAAATAACGTTATTATACCAGCATCCCAAAGCGTTACATATCTTGGTATTCATTTAGACCGACGATTGACATGGAGACAACACATAGCCGCAAAACAAATACAAATAAAACTAAGGTTTCTTAAATTGTATTGGTTACTCAATAAAAATTCAAGATTACAGCTTGCACACGAAGTCCTGATATATAAAACTATGATTAAGCCTATATGGACATACGGGGCCCAACTCTGGGGTAAATCCAGCGCGTCAAATATAGATGTTATACAGAGCATTCAGTCAAAAATATTTCGTTCAATAACAGGAGCAGCCTGGTTCCTCAGAAATTCCGTCATACATATGGACCTTCATGTACCTCTAGTCAAACGGCCATATTGTTTTTTCTCTCATTCTCAAATTTAAAGTTTGCATTGAAAACAACAACAATTATAGGTATTTTCGGTGGCTCGCAAGTGTGGCAAAAAATGCATGCAGACCTATATTCGTTAAGTGAGAGATTGACATCACTGTTTTCAGTTGTTCGTAAGTATGGCAAAAAATAGCAAATTGCTGGACTATACTGGTTGATAAGTACGGAAAACAATTATACTATTTTCTCTATCTAGGCCAGTGATTCTGAAGTGGCCAAACACTTCGGCTTGAAAACAGAAAACTTTTACCAACATAATCAGAGAACTATTGTGAACCTTCACGGGAAATTTCAACGAATAAGCAATCATATGTCAAAAATCATATGTAAACTAAAATTCAAACAAAGTTCAAAAATTTCATAAATTTGAAAATTGGGGAAAAAAAATTTTAGTGTTTTATTTTGAAATTTCCAACATTTTTACCATTCCTTTTAATTTTATATTTATTTGAAATTTTATTGTATATTAATTATTTATTTTTATAAAAAATGTAATTTTTTGCATTATGTGCACATATGCAAGATTTGGTATTTGCCAAAACATAATAGTTGACAGATTGCAACCGTGATGCCAATGTCTCGATTAGCGTGATCAGCATGCATTTTTTGCTATACTTGCGAGTCACCGAAGATGCCTATTGGTAAATTGCTTTCATATTTAGACACGCGTAAATTGGTGCAAGTATGTAGTAAAAATATTAGTGGAATCGCGAAGCGATGTTCCTGAATAAATTGTTAAGTTTATTAACTTGTTAGAAGAGATCTTTGACAAGGAAAAAGTTAAAATGTCCAAAAAAGCAAAAATAAGACGTTTTTCTTGATTATTTTTTGAATAAAATAATATGTTTTTAATGGATACGTACAAAGTTCCCAGTAAAATTCAAAAAAAAAACAGGTAAAACAAAAAAAAATAGTTTAATGTCTCTATAACGAAGTTGTTAGCAGATACCATCGATTTCATTATAGAGAGGTTTGACTGTACTTGGTATTTTCAAATTTTGCCTGCAAATAAAAATTTGTTTATGTATTGACATATAAAAGTGAATGAAAAAATATTTCCAAAGTCTAGTCCTATTAGATGCTCGGCAAATATATCAAAGCAATGCTCACAAATATTTGAAAAAAGAATCGGATTAAAGAATAATCTTAACCCATTCACTGCGATGGTTCTCTACGCAAATTTCACATTTTCTTGTTCGTAAAACAGTTTTCTAACAGATAATAAATGGCGCTGAACAGGGTAAAAATATGTTTCCGTCGGACGTAAGTAAAAATTACGCATATTGTTAGGCTTTTTTTTGACAAAACTTATATATATTATGAAAATAAATAAATCAAGCTTTAATAAGACACATATTTCGATTTAAAAAATCGTAGTATAATTTCTCAATGGTACCATCGCAGCGATCCGTTATAAAACACGAAAACAAATAATGTTCCAATAATGTTCTATGCAAACAATCTTACTGGAATTGTGATAGTAATTATTACAATGAAATGATCGCGATGGCTATGTCTCGCGATCGATTTCATCAAGTCGAACGTTGCAATCCTTTTGCACTCGTTTAATAAAATGTAGAAATTGCGAACACTTACTGAATAACTTAATCGACCATATTTGGTTGAAAAATACAATCAATATATGAGTGGTATAGATCGAATGAATCAAAATATTGCATATCATAGCAGTGGTAAATTGTCTATTCATATCTCAACTTCGATGCAATTAAAAAAATATATAAAAATTGTATTGATTTTAACTGGTACGCAAAAAGAAATGGTGGTGGTCGATATGGCTGTTGAAAATTTTAGATACAAAATGCTTAGTTGTTACAAAGAAAAACTGGTTATAACACATAACATTTGCAGTTTCGGCGAAACATCACAATACATTATTGCAATACTGTATCGATCTGTGTGCAAAGTAAAGTTGTGCCGCTTCAAACGATTCCAGTGAATGATCGTTGTGATGGATGAGACCATTATCCGTGTGGAAGCACTAAAAGACGATGCCAAGAGCCTAACTGCAACAATCGGTGGTTAGTGAAGTTCAAAAATTAGCATATCTATGATCAAGATCTATAAATATACAAATCCTAATATTTTTACTTATTTAGATCATATTTTATCATTTTCACTAATTTCATATATTTTTTAAATTGTTGTTTTTATTTTCTTTTTAAATATATATATTTTCTATTCAAAATCAAAGCATATTTAATTCAAGTCATTAATTCATGTACCACCTCATATTAGGTTAATGGTAAATCGTACATTTTTTTCTTCTTAAAAAAATCGAAAAAAAGTATTATCGCAGCGAGTGGGTTAAATCATTACAAATGAAAGCGAAATAATAATATTGCCACACATTCACAAAAAAAAAAAAAAACGGGGAAATGTAATGGTTCTATGCACAATATTATTTTTAGTTGCTTTGACTAAAATAAACTAAACAAGTAGTATAAATAAAGAAAAAGTGAGAAATCTTATTAAGCAAGAAGCACCTCATGCAAGAAGATAAAGTTTTGTAGAATTTGGGGCTGCCATAGAGATGCCAATTGCTGACAATATTCTTCACACGGCTTTTATATACGCTGATAGCTTCACGTAGCCAACCCCAAAAATGATTTGAGATGTCGGTAATTGTGGTTTATTATATTATATTTATTATATATAGTCAAACAAAAAAATGAATTTTATTAGTATTTTACATTACAAACTATTTATACAGATACTAATAATTAGAACAAATGTTAAAAATTTTATTTTTACTCAATTATTTAAATTTTGTCCCAGACTCATTAACATAGTACAAACGAACTTTAGTCAAATAATACTTCAACATTTTACAAGTTTTTATTGAAATAATACCTTGCCCTATAACTAAGTACACTACTCAGACTAATGTACTCACTTCAATATATCCGTAATTAGTGTGTGTAGTTTTACCTTATCACTAGATTATTCTAAATTAAATATTGAACCTCGCGCTTACGTTATCATTTGGGTTTCTTTTTTGGTGATCAACTACGACTAAAAATTTTATTATGTTTTGTTTTTTTAAAATGCCGTGATGATCGTAGGTGAGAGTTTCTACAGTTTCACCATTTTCGTTAAATTCGTAAGACTTGCATTCGTGTAGTGGACAGCAATCGGGGTAATCAAGAAACTCATTAGGAGGTGGCAGTTGACTGCAAGTACCAGGTAAATGTGGTATTTGGCAACTGAAAAATATGAAGCAAAATGTAAATTTGAAAGTTCCAGTTATAACTGCGACATTTGGTATATGTATATAGATTTAAATCACTATTCATATCACTAACCTTATCTGTAATTCATTGCTTTTTAATTAAATTGAACATTTTTAAGCGCTAATTCAAATTAATAGGAGACCAAACAGTTTCTTTGAATTTTAAACCACTTATTCTTATAAAATTTATGCTGCACGCAATTAATGTTAACATAAATAATAAACAATACTTTTTTTAAAATCAAAACAAAATTTAATCTCAATATTTTTGTGCTGTGTGATTTGATCATGGTTTTTCTTATAATTAATTTTTATTTTCTTTAACAGCTTGTGACGTAGGCCTGTACTACGCCACTTTAGGCGAAGTTCATTATTAACCTTGCTTTTGGCGGAGTTTTTATGCATGTAGATAATAAAGCGTATAATTAACTGTTACTGTTTATTGATTGTTATGGGATTAGAAAAAATAAAAAGATTCTTAAAATTCTTAAAGCTTTGAAATCGCGAAACTGTAATTCTAAACAAATTTTTAAAATATTTGTGGAATTTCTCTACAAAAAATTATTATGAATAATTGTCAGTTAATCTAACTGTTATAAATTCATCAAATTTTAATAATTCTTACCTATCTTCCCATATTTCCAAAGTACCTAGGCATTGTGCTCGTATGCACCGACCTCTGCGTTGGATCACATCTCCAATTAAGAGTTCTTGTTTGGTTTCAGAATCAGTGCATTTCTGATAATAAGAGCTTCCTTAATTAATCAAAAATTGCTGAACGTTTACAAAAAATAAAATAAACTATGTAATTTGTTTCATTTTTTACCTTGGTAAGGCAGTCCTACTAATTGCTGCCAAAACACAATTTCACAGAAAATAAGGTAATAAAACTTAATTGTGCAAATGTTAAAAGAACGCATTCCTTCTCCGCACTTCATAGTACATAAAATATATGCCACGATATAAATTCAAATTTTTCAGTATTTATTCTTAC